CTCTTCTCTGTGGTGCTGGCTGTTCCTGGCGAACATAGTGGCGTATAGGACTCGGTGAGCCGCGGCCCATCTGGTTCTCTGGTATGTGGACGGAGTGAAAGGTGTCGGCATGCTGTGACACGAATTGTCGCGTGGGCTCGGGCTCGGGCTCTTCGTGCAGCTCTCGATGGCGGGCCATGGCATCCTGCTTGTGAATGAACTTGCGCGTCGAAGGGTCGTAAATGGCATCCGGTGAGTTCGGATCGACCGGTCGAGGAGCTTGTCGCGGCACATAGGATTGCGTCTGTACAGCAGAGCCAGATGGCTTGGCGCGCATACTGCCACTCGACAGTCTTGCGCCTTGCAGGCCCTGTGAAATCTGGTGTGTATGCACTGGGCGCTCAGAGGCATTCTGGACCGATCGTTGGGCATTCTGGAGGTCGTAGCTAGAGACCCCACTGGACGTCTTTGGTCGCGATGTCGAGGCCATGCGCTGGACGGCATCCTGATTCACGACAGGGCCGCCAAACCATCCTTTACTCGAGGGAGGCGAGGGATTCTGGCGCGTGCCTACGGCACCCGGGGACATTGGGCGGGAGAAGTTTACGGATCGCAACGCGTCGTCCTCCTCGGACACCTGAGCGAGATGGCTGGCAGGCCGTTGCCCTCTCCCAGTAGGAGCGGCGCCCCTATCCAGGCTGACACCTCTGCCTCTGCCTCCTGGCGCGGGTGATCCTCCACGGTACGTAGGCTCGAGGCTGGACGCACGCCGATGGACGACGCTGCCCTGCTGCTGCATGTTCTTTGGCATTGGCGGAACCGGCGGCGCATCTGCATCCGGTGGACTCCCTCCGCCGGGCGATGGCGCGCGAAAGGAGCGCTCCGTCATGGATCCTGAGCTCGACTGCCGGCGCAGGGGACCGGGCTGTGGTCGCGAGACGCTGCCGTTTGACGAGAGCGAGCCGCGGCGGGCCATGCGCTTCGTGACTGTGTCGCCTACGGGCGTCGGGGTCGTGACGTGGGTGCGCAGGGCGGCGGCCGCAGCCGCCGACGAGAGGTCGCCGTTGGATTCGGCATTCTTGATGAAGGCCTTGGAGGCGGCGAGCGAGGCGGATGCGCTGGGTGGAGGGGCTCGCTGGGGCTGCATGGGCGACATTTGTTAGCATCGCGTCGCCATACGCCTGTGGAGCGCGCCAGGAGGTTTGCGCGCGCATCGAGAGAGCACCTACCGGATTCGACGCTGCCCGTCGTCGCTTGCCGAACATGGTTGCGGTGGTGAATTAAAGATTACTGCAGTTGCGGCTGGCGCTGCATTGCCGTGTGCTGCGATGGTGTGGTGGCTTTGGAGATGCAGGTGCAAGGGTCGTCTAGATGATGTCACGCCTGCGGCGGAACCGTGCGGGCTGGGTGAAAGAGTGGAAAGCTACCTGCGTCAAACCGCCAAACGAAAAACAAATCACGGGCGTCTCACGTGTGGAAGGATTGGAAGGGTTGGAAGTGCGAGAAGGGCTCCGAGACGCTTCTGGGCCGAGTCGACTTGTTGTAGCTAGCAAAACAAGTAAGAGGATCGTCATGTTCCCGGACACCCCAAAGCTTAGGTCGGACGTGTTGGCGCCGCAGAGGCCCGCGAAGCCTCGCGCCGGCGCATTTGCATCGTCACAGAAAGTGTCAAACACCTCACCGTCTCAGCTACATGGTCAAACAAGCACGCATGTCGGGGGTGAGGCTGTTGCGCGCCCAGGGAAGACGTGGCTCGACGCTGCCAGACGCAGTCTAGACGTGCCCAGAAGAGACATGCATTGTTTACGTTGTCTCTTCACCCTCACGCCTGGTGCTTACTCACATCCACCATCGCAAACGCGCACGCACTTCTCCTGAGACTCTGCCGGAGCGGCAGCAGTGCTTTTCCACGAGCCTGTTTCCTCTTTCACGCGCCGGTACTTTCACGGTCCCTGATTTGCACCTCTCCAGCTAGTAACAACCCTGAGCCCCAACACCATTCTAGCCAGTCCCCATCTGGCGCCACTGACGTAGCCGATATCTCCAAGAGCAACCGTCGTAGCGCCGGCCGCCGTACGCTTTGTGATTCGTGATCCTCTTCCAACATGCGCCAACCTCTACAGCGTTTGCCTGCCAAACGTCGCACAGGCACCCATGTCCAGTGCCACGAACAATTGCGACGCCATGTCGAATACAGATCGATTTGATCATGGCAACGTGGAACGCGCATTTTTGCGCAAGGCCATGTGGACTAGGATCGACGAACTGGCCCACCCAGAGCTCGAGAAAGATCGCCCAGACCGCACATCTCTTCCCCGCGCTAACTGCTAACATCGTGACGATTGACCAGCACTGCCACCTCCCGGTTCATCATACAGAAAGCGACCGAGTGTATACTTCATGCATGCGCCTGCCCTACTCTATTTGTCTTCCAATTTGCTTTCATCTGAGACGTCATCAGCATGGCATCACCAGCGTCGCGCCTGCCGCCTTTGCCATTACCAGACGGCATCGTCGAGAACTATGTCTACTGTCCATCAAATGGCATCACCTTCCACACGCTCGAAGCTGGGTATACTCCCCAACGCGATAAGCCTCTCATCATCCTGTGCCACGGCTTTCCAGAGCTTGCCTTCTCTTGGAGGAAGGTCATGGTGCCCATCGCTGATGCCGGTTATCATGTGGTAGCCTTCGATCAACGTGGCTACGGGCGCACAACCGGATGGGACAACTCTTCGTTCCCTAACACCAATTTATCACAATTTGCTCTGACCAATGTCGTCCGCGATGTGGTTACACTGGTTAATGCTCTGGGTTATCGAGAAGTTAAGTGTATCGTCGGCCACGACTTCGGCGCTGTCACTTCCAGCATGTGTGCTCTGATGCGTCCAGACCTCTTCAAGAGTGTTGTCATGATGAGTCATCCTTTCAAAGCGCCTGCACAGCTGCCATTCGATATAGCCCACGGTGGCGCTCGCGATCCTGCGCCATCGCCTGACATTCACGCTGAGTTGGCAAAGCTGCCCGTGCCAAGGAAGCATTACAAGTGGTATAACAGCACTAGTACAGCCGGGGCCGATTGGATCAACCCAGAACAAGGCCTGCACGCATTTCTTAGGGGGTATCTCCATGTCAAGTCAGCGGACTGGAAAGAGAACTCACCACACCCTCTCAAGAGCTGGACGGCCGAAGAGATGGCCAAAGTGCCCAATTACTACGTTATGCCGTTGCACAAGTCAATGCCTGAGACTATCGCTGACATGATGGCTTGCGAAGATAGCTCGGCGACTGAAAGATGGATGCCTGACAAAGACCTGGCTATCTACGTCCAAGAATGGTCTCGGACAGGCTTCCAGGGCGGTCTCAATTACTACCGAATCACCACCGATCCACTTCTCCAAAAAGATCTCGAGCTATTTGCGGGCAAGACGATCGAATGTCCAAGTACCTTTATATCAGGCGCGAGGGATTGGGGCAATTATCAGCAGCCTGGGGCCCTCGAGGCCTATCCCGAGTCATGTTCAGACTTTCGAGGGATCCACTTGATCGACAACGCAGGACACTGGCCCCAACAAGAACAGCCGAAGAGAGTCGTTGAAGCGATATTGGCGTTCGTCCGCTATCTTTAAGTCAACTGCAGCTGCGGCGTATACGATGCTTGACAAAATATGCGATTCTCCCAACTTATCAATCATGCGGCTCCCGATCGTCCGCATATTTAAAATCCGATTACAGCCACCAACAAAGGGGTTCCTTCCGTTTCAGATCAGAGATGACCATCTTGTTGAGGCTGCTACGCCGCTACGCCGCAATTCCTTCTCATCTTCGGTCGGCTAGAGTTGCCGCCCGTTTACTCGCCGTTACCCGAACCGAGGCCGGCAGTCAGGTTCGTAGTTCAGCACGACTCGAAAGACTCGTGATATGCAGTATTCCAAAGCTTCGTCGTAGTCAAAAGCCACTACTGTCGCAAACAGAGTTAAGTGCTGCAACATCAGTGCTCCATCGCAGCAATCAGAAGGAAGAAAATCAGGCTGAATACCAGTCTAAATTTCACGACTTCTCCACAGTAAGTACATACGCGAGCTTCTATTCTCAAGAAGACGGAAGGTACATATGCATTGCATCGACGGCAAAGACGGCCTTTGCGGTTTGTTGAGCGAGAGGATTTGAAAAAGGCTGCACAATGACATTGTATTTAGCTGCTCGAGCTAAAAGTGAGTACATCTACGATCGCTTAACTGCGGGCATGTGGCGTGGGTATCCGATTCCCCTGATCTCGCATGCAGCTCGCGGCAGTGCTGACTCGGCGCTAGAGCCTATTCTTACCAGGTGCGCTTAGCATATCATCGAGCATCAACGTGCAGGATCACACTTGTCTCCTTATGAATGAACAGACGGCAGGATGGAAGGGATTGCAGTGTATAAGATGACGGGACGGGCGGAGGGCATTGTTGTGTGCACAGAACTTTCACTACCGCGCAGAAATGACCGCCTCTCCTCCTTCAGCCGCTTCGTCCCGTACTTTATCTCTTCCCTTTACCAATACAATTGCAACCCTACGTCACTTGGTCCAATGCTGCCGAGAAAGCACGCAATCGCCACTCACTCTTAACACAAGTGATCAGTCAATGCGTCCAACGGTCCACGCAATTGAGCAGTCAGACGCATCACCTAACTTGCTCAAAGGCTCGCTCAACCAATCTCCTTCCAGGTCCTCTGTATCGAGCGTGTGCGAAGATGGGTACATCAACAAGAATCTCGCCATCACTCAAGTTACACCCATCGATTACCAACCCGAGATATCTCCAAAAGTATCTCGACAGCCACTCGATAGCGACGCGAAACCCCACATACGCAGTCGCGAAGATACTCTCGATCCTTTGAGTCCTTCAAATCAGCCATGCAATCGATCAGCGCCGCTTCAAAAACATTCTCCTCCGCCAGAATACATAGAGAACTATACAGCGCCACTGACGAAGCTAGCGGACGAGAAAGATATCGGCGTTGTGACAACAGTTACCATGACTTCACAATTATCGTCATCGATGCTCTCGAAGCCAGAGATCACTTTTCGACATCGAGTGCGGGATGTCTGCCTCCATTGGTTCACAGCGTACCGGATACTCATCGGGCTCACCTTCGCTGTGAACATCGCAGTGCTTGCTGTCATGATCAGAGGAAACCGTCACGACCATATCGGCCTCTCTGGACCCCTGATTGCTGCCGCCGCCAATATCTTCGTCGCCATCCTCGTACGCCAAGAAGATCTTATCAATGTTTCCTTCTCCTTTGTAGCCAGAACGCCAGTAAGCCTACCGTTATGGCTCCGGAGAATAATCGCAGACTTCCACCACTACGGCGGACTACACATCGGCTGCTCTATATCATCACTTCTATGGTACTGCTACTTTGTCTTCTTGGACACCAACCACTTCCTCGATCACTTCGGGCAGCGCATGGCTTCTGGTTGGATGTGGGCCGACATTATCACCTGCTACGCCTTCCTCACAGCCATCTTGTGCATCTGCGTACTAGCGCATCCACACCTGCGCGTAAAGTTTCATGACGCATTCGAAAAGACACATCGTTTTGGTGGATGGATAGCTTTGTTGGTACTGTGGCTCAACGCAGGTGTGTCCAGTCGCAACCCCGGCAGTCCACCGCTGTACGCAAACGCCGCCCTCTGGCTGCTAGCCGCCACGACTTTCCTCATAATCCTCCCATGGACGCGTATACGCCGAGTGCCGATAACTACCGAACCCGTTTCTAGCCGCGAAGTCAAGGTTACCTTCCCGTACAAAGACATGCCCTACACGTCCACCACGCGCTTCTCGCTAAGCCCCGTCCTCGAATGGCACGCCTTCGCTACCATACCGTGCTCTCCTTCTCCTGACAACCCTTTCGCATACATTGTCATCTCTCAAGCGGGTGACTGGACAAAGGCAATGATCAAGTCTCCACCGACACACATTTGGCTGCGCAAACCCGCCGCCAAGAACTTCCTCTCTTTCGCTCCACTCTTCAACTCCCTGCTTCTCGTGGCTACGGGCGCAGGTATTGGCCCATTGCTCTCACTCTTATGCTCACCTGCGATTGCGCAGATGCGCGAACAGGGCAGACAGGTTAGGGTCATGTGGTGCGTGTACGATCCCGATGCGGCGCATTGGCAGTTCGTCCAGGATATCATCCGTAACGTGGATCCCGAGCCTAAGATCTTCGACTCGCGCGAGGGGAGACCCGATCTAGCGTTCGAAGCTGAGTTTATGAAAGAGCAGTGTGGATTAGAAGCTGTGATGGTAGTAAGCAACCCGGCGGTTACGAGGGAAATCGTTGAGGGAATTAAGGCAAAGAATGGTGCTGCATATGGCGCGGTGTTTGACTCTTAGACGCTATCGTTGGTCGACTCTGGTGTGAGCATGGACATGCTCTGCCCTCTGGATTGACGGTTCTGTTGCGCTTTTCGGTTATGTTCACTTCGGCTTTGGCTTCGACCTTAGCCTAGGAGCAGGCTCTTCCGTCGCAGTAGAGCTGCGATTACATTCTGTATTTGTATAACACTTCGTGAATCGGGTTTGGCTGATGACCACACATGCACATTGTTTGTAACGTTGTGCGACGGATCCTTTCATTTGTAGTAAGACTGTTAAAAGATTCATTGTGTATCTGTTCCACCGTTGTTTCTCACGATGTCAAGGGCGGAAGCAAATGAAGACTAAAAATTACAATTTAGAAGTACTACTACTATAGCTGCTACTGTGTATTAGAGCCGCCATTACAAATCACCAGTTCCCTCGATACAGTAACAGTCTTTACATGACCTCGACAACAGCGGGGCCAGCGATGATGGTGTCGTCAGTAGCGGCAGTGTTGCAGCTGGTGAGGACAACGTAGCTCTGGCCAGCAATGCCCTTCTCGGGGACGGTGACCTCGAAGCCACCCTCGACCATGGTAGCCTCAACGAAGACGGGGCCGGTAACGGTGATGAAAGCGGCGTAGACCTTGCCGTCAACCTTGTAGCCGGAGGTGGCGAGCATGACCTTGCTGCCAGCCTTGATCATCATGCTACCGTCAGAAGCGGAGGCAGCAAGAGTGGGGAACGCCTTGACGGGAAGAGGAGCGTTGGTCTCGGGGCAGGACTTGATGAACTGCGCAGCGAGGGTGTAGACCTCGTTGTAGCTCAACGGGTTGTCGAAGGGAGCGGGGAAAGGCGAAGCACCGACGGTGTTGCGGATGTATGCCGAGTGGCGGGCCTCGACAGTGAGGATGGAGCCAGCGGCAGTGAGGTAGGTCTTGGACATGATGTCGGCGGCAGCACCGAGGTAGGCGCTGACACCAACGCCCTCGAGGACACTGGCAGTGGCAAGGAAGGACGCAACGTCCTTGTAGCCGAAGTCGTAGGTGCAGGCCTCGACGGGCTTGGCTCCAGCGGCGCTGAGCGCACCGGTCAAGAAGGAGACGTGGGTCTCCTCATCGGAAGAGATGGTCTTGATGCGGTTGTAGGCCTCCTCGGAGAAGTTGGCGGCCTTGAAGTCCTCGACGGTGAACTTGGCGAGGGCCTCGCGGTAGAAGGTGTCCTCGAGGTGCTCGAGAGTGAGCGCGTAGTTGAGGATGACACCGTCAGTTACGCCATCAGCACGCTTGATGGGAGATGCGGTGGAGACAGCCGCAAGAGCAGCGATGGCAGCGATGGTAGACTTCATGTTGATGATGGAGTTGAGTAATTAAAACCGAGTAGAATCGAGTGTGAGGAAAGACTGTAGATGCTCAAAGTAGTGAACTTGGTGAACTGTGAGATGCTTCTTTCAATCCAGCGGCACCAATCCTGTCTTATACCTCCCGTGTCCATTCCTCCAGGCCTCTTTGTCTCCGCCTCAATCTCCCGTAACCACCTCCATCACAAAGCTTACTACCCCTCTTCCAGCGTTCGCCCGCACCACCTCATCATCTCATCTCCCAAAACCTATAAGCTAGGCACAAAACATCCCGTAGACGGACATGCTTCCATCCGGCGCCAGTCGCGATCTCACAGCCCAAGCTGCCAGCACCCCCGATCAGTCTAACCTGAATGACTCCAACTAAGGCCGCCGTCAATCCCAAATCAGGCCGAGACCAACGATCAGTGTTACCTGATCGAGCACTGCAGCAGGGGCTGTTAGTGTGGAATGAAGGAGAGTGAACAAGTAACAAGGGTCCAAGGGCGATGTTCCCCGCAGAAAATCGCGGTAAGTTGTTTAGTCATGTTTGTGCACCACGGAACCTTCACCATCCGGACTGACGCTAGTGCGGTTAAGCTCCAAAATGACGTCGCGCTACTGCAAAACCATACCAATGCCGACCTAGTGCCTAGGTAATCTTGACCTTTTTAGTCAGGGGAGTAGGTTGTACAATTGTCATCTTTTGACTACATGTTTTGCGGAAGGTTTTTCTTCCTTCGCTCGCGGCGAGCGTGGCTTGGGTAAGATGCAGATCTACGAGAGATAGACAGGGGAGGTTGTGATGGTGCTATGGAAAGGTCAGCTTCCGAGGGGCAATGTCGGTGGGAATGACTTGGTGGACTGGATCGAGAGGTGGGTTGTTACGTGATGTGAGCTGTACACAGGAGCCCAATTGCTAGAGACGCTGCAAACTGAATGCGCCTTCTGCTTTCGCTGTCTCTTTGGGAATATTATCATTCAAAGAGTTGCCGATAGGCCAGTTCAGTATTCCAATGACGGTTCTTTCTCTGTGGAAATTCACATCTGGAAAGGTATCCAAGACCGTGACCCCGGAATCACCACCGTTAGTACAAACGCCTCCAAACATCGCAAACGGAACTTCCCACCTCCACATTCTTCCATGCCAATTACCCTGGACTAGCCAGGTACAGACCATGCGTTGATCTAATATCTAGCCGCCCTCTGTCGACGGTAAAGTCTGTCTCCGTACTTTAGCCCGTTAGTGACACCTTGAGTTCAGATTAGTTCGGTCTAGCTGCCGTGATGTTTGTTGTCGCTGCGCCTTTACTAACTTGTTTGCCTGCAGATCAACACTCTCTTCGCGGGATATATGGCCGATGCAGCGGGAAATAGGCGCGGGAACGTGATCAACTGTTTTCTCGGAAGACGTTTGATCCGATCAGAGTTGAATTCATCGACCGGGTTTTCGGCTTGAGGGTTGCCACTTGTGTTTGGAATGGAGATAGACTAGTTGGTAAGTTGTGGATGTGACTGGTAGCTTGTTTGGAGAACGGACGAGGCCGTATGCGGAGTATTGGTTGGTTGACGCCAGTGATAACTGCCGCGTTTCGATATGTCCTTAGGTCGCAATTGAAATTAAGAAAACTAGGGAGGTGAACTGTGCGCGTGCTCGAAGGCGATAGGTAACGGGATGAAGTACAAAGAAGGGTGTCGAAGGTCGTTCCTTTTCGGATTCCTTTCGCTTCTCCCTCGCTTCCCTCAGAGTTGACATATAATCATACTTCAGTCCTTCCCGATCGAAACAAAACACTCAAACGTCTCGTACCTTCAACACCACAACACCTACACAATGAAGTTCTCTACCTCTTTCGTCGGCGCTGCCGTCTTGCTTGCCAGCACTGTCTCTGCTGCGTAAGTCAACCTTCATCCCTATCCCTCCTACCTTTATCCCCACTGCCCAACCTAAGCTCACCCAAACTAACACTCCTTATAGCGAAGCCCCAGCCGTTACAACCACCCTGACCGCCAAGGCCGGCTGCCCCTCTGCCGCACCCGCCGATGTCATGGTAACGCGCTCAGCCGTTGCCGTACCATCTTGCGCCGCCGGCGCCAACGAGACCAAGCCCAGCATCGTCACCATGCCTGGCTACGGAACAGGCATGATGGGTAGCGCCACAGGTACAGGAATGATGCCGGAATTCACTGGTGCGGCGTCCGCGAACATGATCAGCGGTGTTGTCGTTGGTGTGTTTGGTGGATTGGCTGCTGCGCTCATGGTCTAAAGTTCTTGCGGAGGTGGACCGTGGCGTGGATGTTGGCGATGTGGGATGGAGATGAAGAGATGTTTGGTGCTTCAGGTGTCTGGTGCATAGACATGGAGGTTGTAAGAGCTGTGTTTTCTAGTCAATACCTTTTCGAAGAGATGGGGGAGATGAAAGTATGTAATGCTAATAGTGGTTGGGAGAATGTACAATGACTTCTCGGCTGGAAACATAGTCGTTATCACAAATGAAGCACGTACCTTTACTAAGTTGCCGTGATCCTCGCTCCATGGATTCTCCTTCTCATTACCTGCGAGTGACGGCCGTGTAGTAATCATCCTCGGTGGGTCCAGCTGACGCCATCTTCCATACCCACATGAACACATACCCGCCGTGGAGCAGACTTTGACGCAACTCCATGACGCGGCCCGGTAACGTAAACTCGACAGACTTAAAAGCCAAAAGGATACATCTCTTGCATTTATATTCCCGTACATGCCCTATCTACAATGCTCTTCACATATTTTCGTCTCCGTAGCCTACAAAGCGCGGAGGAAAACGCAGCACAAGACCTTCAGACCTTGACAAATCCACACACACAATAGCCAGCCGGTTTCATCACATCCCGGTAATCGTATATATACACAAGTAGAGGGCTCCTTCCCTCCTGAGATTATCCAATGTAAAGTACCTAACATGTCTCGATATAGGCTCATCCAGACGAATCCATTCCCAGAACACTGGTTTGGCATTCAAGCCCACAAAAGAGGGAGCAAAAGAAAAAGGGCAGAACTGCGCCCCGAGTATACAATTCGCGGAAAGAGATCGATGGAGCGGTCGGAAAGAGTCGCCGCGATGATGCCGAAGATGAAGAACGCCCGCCAACGCCATGCCGTCATGCAAGAACTCGTATGAGAAGGGATGCTATACGCGCTCGTATCGTATTCAGTTGTCGTACGTCGAGGGTAACGATTTGCCGCCGCAATCGGGGATCTTAAGCCCGGGCTTCAGTTTGCGGTTGACGTCCATTAGACCCCACTTGTCTTCCCACTCTTTGCCCTTTTCGTTATACTGGATCTTCCATGGCTCGTCAAAGGCTGAGAACCTAGGGATGCATTAGCGGCAGTCTATCGAGGCTGAATGACAGGGAGACTTACCAAAAGTACTCTGTCCCGTTAGTTAGACTTGGGCAAACCCAGTCTTCCATGAATTGATTCATTTCGTCAATACCGGCAACAGAGCCTCCGGCGCAAGTGTCAGCCGCACCACAGTCGGTGCCGCCTCCAGATGGCCAGCCAACCTCGGCGATTACCTGGTGGATGTCGTTCTGGGTTGCGGTCAATGACACGTCGTGGGTTTGCCAGAAGTTCCAGGTCCAGGCAGCTGCCTCTTTGACGTCGACACCGGCAAAGAAGGGATGAACGTTTGACATGACAATGTCGACCTTGGTGGCCATGTCGCCAGTCCAGTTGTCACCCAGATCAGCCATTGCGACAGGCAGCTGGCAGCTGTGGTCCGAGATGTTCTTGCGGAAATCGGAAATGTGTCCCAGCAGCTCGGTCTCAGACAGGTCCTTGCGGTAAAGCACCTCGTTACCAATGATGATACCCTTGAAGTAGTCGCAGCCATAGTCATCGAGAATGTCCCATGTTTGGGAAATCTGTCGCTCCGTTGTAGTGTCGTTCTTGTCGAGCCATACACCAAGCCAGATCTTCATGGTGTCCTTGATCTCCAGTTGGTTGATGGCGTGGATAAGCATCTGTGTTTGGTTGCAGTCGGTTCCGTACAAGCGGACTGAGTTGGTCAGTTGCGACATGACAGCCAAGTCTCGGGTGATGTTGTTCTGCGATGGTCCGACGTGGAGACAGTCTGGGTACTGCGTGTTCAGAGGAGTGTAGTCCATGCCGGGAAACACCTTATGCAAATCGGCGTTGTTCATCAAAGCCTTGATCTCGGAAGAGTCCTTGCCGAGGTCCTCCTTGTTGTCTTTGGCGATATCGTCAGCAGACTGAGCAGATTTAGCAGCCCCGTCCTTTGCACCGCCACCCTTTCCGACAGTAGCGCCGAGGACACCGCCTAGAATTGCACCTGCGAGGATGAGGGTAATGATGGCAATGGCGATCCACATGCGCTTCTTCCTCTTCTTCAAGTCGTCTTCTGCTTTCCAACTTGCAACCTTTTCTGGAACAAGCTCTCCACTTCCGTTGACCATGGGTACGGCGTCGTACTTGGTACCGTCGCGTGAGGCAGCAAAAGCACCAGCGCCTGCTGCGGCAGCAACGCCTCCGTTGTTTATCGATGACCCTGGCGAGCCATTGCGACTGCTGCCGTCCCGCGAGCCACCGAATGGCACGAAAGAGCGTCGCTTGTTCTGTGGAGAGTTGTGGTCTGGGCCCATTCCCCAGTCGTCATCGTTGTCGACATCGAGCGGGTTGATCTGGCCCATCTGCGGCGCGAGGTTCTGGGCGGACGACGAGTAGCGGTTGTAGGGCGTGTCGGCGTAGGGGACGCCGCTGTGCGGGGAGTGTGGCATGCTGTACATGGAGCTGTCGCTCGAGTACATGCCGCCGACGAGTGGTGCGCCGGAACCGTAGGAGCGTTGCGAGTACATTGGGCGCGGAACCATGGGCTGGTCGTGACCGTTGGGGTCATTGAAGGGTGATGACTGCGAGTTCCTGTTGGGGACGCCCATGGGCCGTCCTGGGCCCGCCATGCCTCGTGCAGCGTGGAGGCCGCTCTCGCGTGGGTGGGAGCCAGCGACGCCGCTGGCGATGCCGTTGATGCCGCCGCCCGGAGCCGTCTCGCCCATGTTGTCTGAGCCGGGGGTGACGCCTGGGGTCGAGTAGTCGGAGTAGTTATTGGGGTCGGTATACTGGCGCTGGGCGTGGAGGCCTACGGGAGTGCGATGGGCTGGCGGAGGCGGCGGATTGTCGTCGGACGGGAGGGCGTCGTGCTGCTGTCCTAATGGCCAGGCCTGGGGTTGCTGGAAAGCCATTGTGAGTGCTTGTTCGAGGTTTTGCTACACACCTCGCGTGCAGAGGCGAAAACAACCTGCGCGGGCAACGCTTGGTGGAGGTAGCGGACGGCGGCGCGCCGCTCTGCGGATCGAATGGAGGCGGACTATCGCTGGGCCTGGCTAGTGTTTGCGGCGCGGAACACGGTTGGCTGGGTGGTTTGTTCTTCACGGCGTGGGACCTCGCAGGGATCCGGGCAGAACGAGCGGAAAAGATAATGCAGAGGCAGCGTTTCGCAGAGGCGCAGGCGCGGTCGCAGTGGTGGAGAGAAAGTCGGAGTCGTGCAGTGGCCGAGATGATGCAGGTGTGTTAGGCGGGTAACACGGCGCTGGCACGACAGAGGCTGACGGCTGCGACTGCGCGATGCGCTAGCCCGCTAATTCACCCAGGAAACCACCACGGAACCCACTGTGACGTCTCCGCCAATGCACCAGCCCCAAACACACTCAACAGGTTTTGCGACAAGATAACGCCTATACCGACTGCCCGCCTTTTCCCCCCGACAATGGCCCTTCTGGCGTCCACGCCGGCCTCGTTCATATCACGATCACCCTCGTGCCTGCCTCTTCCTGCGCTGTGTTCCCTCGCGCCTGCCTGTGCGCCCAATGCAGGCAAGAGCGATATGCCCTCAACCAGAACAAGCAGTTGCAGTGAGGCCTTGGCGCAGCCGCGGGAAGCCCCATCCACAACGGCAAGCGCAAGGGTGGAGCCAGAGGCAATTTCCCATATCAGTTGCACCTTTCACGTTTATTGCCGCGAAGCCTGTCTGGTATCCTCCCTTTAATCCCCTGCTCATCCTGCACGCCTTGCATCTCGTCTGCTGTCGACTCCGCTGCCTGCAACTGTCATGGACGTCCTGTCCGCGTTCCTTCCACGTTCTATTCCTAGCTCCTCGTGTCAGCCGCTACCGCAAACGGCTCCACCGTGGAATCTGGAGCGACCTACTTTAACCCATTTAGTCTGCATTCAACACTGCATAGCCTCATAGTCGCCTTCGTCTTTTCAACTTTTTCCACCCATTCCCACCTGTTCATTCGAAGTCGTGTCTCAGCCTGGGCATGCGCGACATCCAACGCCCTTGTAGCGATCTGACCGCCGTGGTGAAACACAAACACCAGATCAAGATCGCCATCGGTCCCCGGCTGATAAGACATGTTGTGCTCACCACTCGCTCCTACCCCGCGCCATTGAGCGAATCTAATCCCGCCGTGCGTTCGGCGCCGCGTCAGCGTCAAGTCATCCTACCAGACTTTAGCAGCCTCGACCTCTCTGGCTCGACTGTCAACACGCGCAGCCTCCCAGCCTCCCGTCTGCTGCATACCTCATGTACCACGTCACGTCTCTGCAGTCACAGTATTGGCCTGCATGCACCACGCCGCGCAATACATCTTAGCACGTTCTCATGTCTCTGTTAACCAAATATCACCGACTGCAGCAAGCCAAGCTTCAATGGTAAGCCGGACCATGTTTCACATCGCCCACACAGGCAACTCGGGCGATTCACCCCGATAAGTTTTAACGTCTGTCCACGACTTTTCACGTTCAAAGTCTGAATTCGATACTTGCGAAGGCGAATTTCCATAATTTTTCACCTGCATGTGCTAGAAGATAGCCATGCTTCCATTTCTCGGTCCAGATATTACGGTAGTGTTCGCGCTCCATCCTATTCTTATCAGTTCGTCTGCGACTCCCGCACAGTCTTTTACAATCCGTACAAGCATGGTTGAATGTGCTATGGTGTGAAGGGTTGGCGTGATGATTGATATCTACTCATGAACGCGTCTGCGTGACGGTACGTACATGGCGCAAATACTACTACATACGTGAACAACTTCAAAAAGCCAATACTCCTCAGGGTCGGAGCAAGGCAAACTACATGTCTCGGCGCAATCAACCTCCGATTGTCTCTACACGGGACGATATTATTGGAAGGCAGCTGGGAGATTGGACGCCTCGTCGAGTCTAAGCCCAGAAGGTGTATCGCTTGGCGCATGATTTTCCTAATTCAGACATCTCCACTATCAAAACGAGTACATGCCTTGATGAAAAAACGGGAAGAGGAACATCGAGCAACGTTTGTGTATATATATCTTTCTCCTTGCAACTCAGCCAACTTCTTCATCTCAATTTCCCAAATATCCCATTTCGCAGTATCTTCTGAAGCAATGCCGCCCCACTCAACAATCCACACCACCATCGCCAACCTAACCACCGGTTCCTCTCTCGTCATCGCTATCATAGGCGGAACATCAGGCATCGGATCCTACATCGCCAAAGCCTTCGCCTCCGTTTACCGCAACTCAAATTCCAAACTACGCATCTACATCGTCGGCCGCAACGCCTCGCGCGCGGAAGCTCTGCTTGCAGAAGTGCGAGCCACAAGCCCAGATTCAGAATGGCGATTCATACAAGCCCATGACCTGGCGCTGATGAGCAATGTCGACGCCATATGTGCGCAAATCAAGAAGTATGAAGAAGAGCAGCCATTGAACGGGGGAGAGCCGCGGATAGACATGCTATACATGACCCAAGCAGAGTCACCACTTGCACCATCACCGCGTAAGTCCTCTCTATCTGCATTCGCTTCCAGGAAGAAGTGAGTCGTAACAACTACCATCCCCATCACCCCAACTGACCAATTCCACCAGCAACAAAAGAAGGCCTTGACACCCAAGTCTCCCTCCTATACTACTCCCGCATCCGCTTTATCCTCGCCCTTACACCCCTACTCCTCCGCTCCCAAAACCCAAGCGGCGCCCACGTCATCTCCGTCTTCGCAGGCACAATCGAAGACTCCATCTCCCCGTCTGCCCTTCCAATCGGCCCACCAGCGCCGGAAAAGCACGGCGTGACATCTGTTCGCACGCACGTCGCTTTCATGAAGACCTTCATGTTCGAGGCCTTAGCTGAGGAACACGCTGGCAAGATCGCTTTTATCCATGTTTATCCGGGGTTGGTTGACGGTCCAACGTTCCTTAGTAAAGTGAATCCACTGTGGTTTCGCGTGCTGTGGCGCATAGCTAAGGTGTTGATGGCATGGTATATGACGAGTCCAAGAGTATGTGGTGAGGTCATGGTGTTTCTGGGTATGGGCAGGTATCCCGCGAGGGGCGCGGGCGTGGGGGTTAAAAGTAACGAGGAAGGGAAGACGGTGGCTGATGTGGCGTTTAGTAGCACACGGGAGAGGGGAGGAGGTGCATATGCGGTGGGGCAGAGGGGTGATGAGAAAAAGCAAGTTAGTTATGCCAAGCTGAGGCAGAGTGACACGAGGGACAGGGTTTGGAAACATACCGTGGGTGTGTTGGGGAGTGTTCCGGGGTTGAGTGAGTAAGTTGTGAGGAGGAAGGGGGCTTGTATATGACGAAACGTCATCCATGCATTATTTGGAAAAGAAACGTGGGGACATCAGACTGATAGATGAAGATCGTATTTTGTATCTTGCACCACCTCAAATAGGTAACAGGGGTATTTATAACGACCACATTTATGTACGACTCCTCCAGCGGAACACTGTTGCGCAACTCAGAAGAATGCATCGAAGCCATTACTGCCAGAGGTGGTCGCAATTCCAGTCTTGCACCACGCCACCACCGAAAGCAGCGTGGAGACTAAACATATCGGTCTGGCAATCGGCAAACTCCGCGGCGAGCCCAGCAAAGTCGTTGAGGTATTGCTCGGCAGTCTCTCCACGGATTCCTGGCCCATGGGTTGCTGGAAGCGGGTCGGGCGTTTGCTTCGAACTGACAGGCCATGTAGGCGTAACTTTTGGAGGTGGGCGTATTGAGGACGATTTCGTGCGCTTAGCTAGTGACTCGGCGTCGTCTCGTTCATGCTGATGACCGCTGGCGGTAAGCTTGGGTGGTAACAGCTGCTCCATGCAAGCAGTCATTATTCCCCTGGTGGTAGAATAGAGCTCATAAAGTCGTCCCGGGGATGATTCGGGTAGCTGTACGCATTTGAGCGCCAGCGACAGGAAAATGATGTCCTTGAGATCATCTGCTTTGCCACGACCCAATCTCGCGATGAGGTAGTTGATGGTCTGCTCTACCTTGGCGATGAGTATGTGTTCGTTGTGCCCGGACATTCGTTGCTCTAGATACTGGCCATTCGAGCTGGCCTGACGGAGATGTTTGATGCGTTGGCATACTGTGAGAGCAGACCACAAAGTGTCTTTTTTGCACAACCAGAAGTAAAGATCCTCCTGTGACGGTGATGTATCTTCAAGTGCTTGAGGGTAATAGAAGTTTGAATAAGAGAGTATGGCCACCGATGAATCGACACATTGTAGCCAGGCCTCTGCGACTTCTTGCTATCAAGTTGTTAGCATAGAAGGTTACTCTAGACAAAGATAAGAGACTTCGAATTCTTGAAAGAACGTTAGACGAATTCTGCGTCTAAAATCTATCGCCTGCGTCAAAACTGAGGAAATACGTACTGGTTATAGGTCAGCTAGACATTTTATCAAGTATCCGCGGTGGCTGATTTACCTTGATATTCCTGATAGCCGAAGAGGAGTGGTCTGTATAAGCATAATAGCGATCGTCGAAGATAAAAGTCTAGGAGAATGCGATGCAGAAATCCACCTCGATCGCCGGTTACTGGCTGGCTGTGTTGCAGGCTGAGAGTCAATGGTAGAGAGCACCAGGATCTTTGTATCTCACGCCCTATCTCAATCGCCTCGTTGACATCGGGGATCGAGCGCTGTACAAGCGAAGAAGCCCTGATTCGATGTGGAAGAGACATAGCAAGATGTATCTGGTAGAGGTTGTCTGTCAGATCGCCAAGAGGGCGGGGAGGAGGTAGCTTCGATGAAGACTCGTCAAAGTCCTCGTCATACAGATTTGCCGGTACCGGACAGTAAGATCCGAGCTCTGGGACTATCAAGGGCATACCCGTCATGATAGATACTTGTACTTCCGTTTCCAAAACAGACGCCCATAGCCGCTTCCGCATCTCCATCTGGTAGGGCGAAAGATGCTTTATCTTCGCAGGATCTATGTGCAAGCCCATGGTCATAGCTGACCGCATTATGGCACCGCTGCGGCTCCAAATTCTATCTGGGTCGGAGTGGCTAACGCTACCAGACAGTAGCACAAGTAATTCGACTTGAAGAGTTGATAGCTCCGTTCGCTGCTTTCGTCCAAGTTCCCCGAGCCATACCTGGATGTGGTTGATAGCTGCACCCCGCAAATAGGCTCTGTAATCGTCTGCTTCATTGGTTCTAGCCGTATCGTCGAGCAAGTAAGCCCTGGTCATAACGCTCGTGAGCAGTGCGAGGATGCTGGATGTAGAATCAAGCCCAGATCCGCTGTCAAGCCACAGTCTTTCATACTGACGCATGAAAGTGGGGCGGTGCAGAACGCGCATGGTACGCTCAAAATACTGGAAGTATATGGTAACCAGCTTGTCACAGTACGGCTTTGGTGGTAGGGACTCCCATAGCTTTAGTAACGATGGCGAACATCCAGAGTCATGCTTGCGCTCAGGCGGCCGAATTGGATCTCCTTTTGATTTGCTTTGAAGAAATTTAACTTTCTTTGCAGACGCCATCAACTGCTCATCACTAGCCATCTTGTTGAGGAAGTCCTTGACATCGAGGAACTGTGTTCCGTCAGTATCATGTTTCACAGATGGTTTTCAATCCTCTTGCCTGATTAAGGAGCGTAGTTTTATCATTCTGCCCAAAATACCGTGATCTACCTCCTTCAGCCACGACTGTGCCAACGAGAGGCAAGTCTGCTGTCGGTGTTGACTGATCGACCTCTGCTTTCATTGGATGTTCGCGCGCACGTTCAAAGCAATACATGTCGACATCTGGTAAGGCTCAATGCCAGGTAAGATAGCAAATCCTACTGGCACGGGCCAAAGAATTGTTAATGCGCCGTCTGGCAAAGGATGTGAAGGATGCTTTGTGTCTACCGACTCTGGATGTAATGGCCGCATTGGAGTTTGCGGCTAAAGACATGTGAGGGATCCATGGATGCGCGGACGGGTCTTTCCTCAAACTGCAAGCAAGGCGGCAAGCTAATGCACGTCCGCGGCGTAGTCAAGGTGTCCACTAACCCCTGACAGGGACGGCACTTACGCGTTGTCGAGTGCCATGAAGACCCAAAGACACTCTCGAGTTATCTATCTAAAGGTGGCTAGGTAGCTTTATGGTCGTATAAGAGGGAGGATAGTAGTGACGAAGATATGCTAAAGGCCTACGGTGCACCTGAAAAGAGGTGTTGGAAGGGTTAGCTAACGTAACTACCAAAAGGCCTGTCATAGCATGCGTGCCGTGATGGGAACAAAGTATCGAGGCACGTGACACTATATCAGCGATTGACACGTGAAGCTCGACAGTCGCACGCACTGTCGCGTGTGTTTGTGTTGAGAATCGAGTGTGGTGAAGGAGTCTGGAAGGCGGTGGTGACGTCTAGCTTGATTCGCCTAGAACCCCACACCGAAGGTCCCTGAGAGCAACGGCGAGATTTGCCCGCCATAACAACACGTAACTTCCCAATCCGCAAGTAGCAATTGGCATACAGTCCACACATCAATTGCCTCTCCCGTAACCACCCATTGGAATATTGACCCCATTCTGGCATCTCCTGCAGGTAAGTGCCAGGGAACAGCTGCGAGGCCCCACCTGCATCTGAAGCTCTCTGGACACAGTAGCTAACAGCTCCCCTCGCGTTCTGCAGCTATCCGACGTCCATCATGAGCAACCTCTTCGAAGCCAAAGTCAAGAGCGTCCTTTCCGGCGACACCGTCGTTCTCCACAACATCAACAACCCAAAAGCAGAGCGCACACTGAGCTTAGCCTTTGTCACCGCGCCGAGACTGCGACGAGAGGGCGACGAGCCCTTTGCCTTCGAGTCACGCGACTACCTCCGCCGCCTGCTGGTAGGCAAGGTCGTCCGCTTCCAAGTCCTCTACAAGATCCCGACGGGCGCGAACCGCGAATATGGCCTCATCGTCACACCGAACAAGGAGATACTGCCGCAACAAGCCGTCGCGGCGGGCTGGGTGAAGCTGCGCGACGACGCCGGCCGCAAGGAAGACTCGGATGAGGCTGCCAACCTACTCGAGCGACTGCAAGTAGACGAGGCACGCGCTAGGGCAGACTCCAAGGGCCTCTGGGCGGAGACTGGCGGCAGGATCAACTCGTCGTCAGAGCTGAGTGACGCGACCAAGTTTGTTGAGCAGAACAAGGGCAAGAACATCGATTCGATTGTCGAAAAGGTCCTGTCCGGTGACCGCCTCATCGTGCGATTCCTCCTGTCGCCCACCGAGCACGTACAAACAATGGTCCTCCTCGCCGGTGTCCGCGCCCCCGCAACACAGCGAACAAATCCTTCCGACGGGAAGGTGCAGCCAGCCGAGCCGTTCGGCGACGACGCTCAACAATTTGTCGAGACAAGGCTGTTACAGCGAGGAGTCCTCGTCGAGGTTCTGGGAACAACACCGAACGGCCAGATCGTCGCAGACGTCAAGCATCCCACCCAAGGCAGCATCACACCTTTCCTGCTCAAGAACGGCTTGGCCAAATGTACCGACCACCACACCACCCTCCTCGGCCAGAAGATGGGCATACTTAGGGGCGCTGAGAAACAAGCAAAGGACGGCCGCCTGGGTGTATACAAGGAACATGTTGCGCCCAAGATCAGCAAGGCTGGAGAGCAAGAAGCCACCGTTAGCCGTGTCCAGAGCGCAGACACCATTTTCATTCGGAACAAGGCGGGCGCGGAGAAGCGCATCAACCTCAGCAGCGTCCGTCAACCCAAGCCTACCGATCCCAAGCAATCGCCATGGGTAGCGGAGGCCAAGGAGTTCTTGCGCAAGAAGCTCATCGGCAAGCACGTCAAGTTCCACGTAGATGGAAAGCGACCCGCGACCGAGGGCTACGATGAGCGCGAAATGTGCACCGTCACCTTCCAGGGCAAGAACGTTGGTTTGATGCTTGTAGAGAGCGGCATGGCATCCGTCATCCGCCACCGACAAGACGATGCCGACAGGAGCCCCATCTACGACGATCTTCTGCTGGCCGAGTCCACCGCACAAGCTGAGAAGAAGGGTCTCTGGTCAGACAAGTCGCCCTCTGTCAAGCAGTACGTCGACTACTCGGAGTCGCTCGAGAAGGCCAAGCGCCAACTCACTCTGCTTTCGCGCCAACGTAAGGTACCAGCCATTGTCGATTTCGTCAAGTCTGGCTCGCGCTTCACTGTACTAGTACCTCGCGAAAACGCCAAGCTCACCTTCGTCCTCTCCGGTATCCGCGCACCTCGATCGGCGAGAAACGATAGCGAAAAGGGCGAACCTTTCGGCAAGGAGGCCCATGAATTCGCGAATCGCCGCTGCCAACAGCGAGACGTCGAGATCGATGTCGAGGACTGTGACAAGGTCGGTGGCTTCATTGGCACTCTGTACATTAACCGTGAGAACTTTGCGAAGACACTGGTGGAGGAAGGTCTAGCTACTGTACATGCCTACTCAGCAGAGAAGTCTGGAAACGCAAACGAACTATTCGCAGCCGAGCAGAAAGCCAAAGACGCGCGAAAGAACCTGTGGCAAGACTACGACCCGTCTCAAGAAGAAGAGGACGGCGAGGCAGCGGTAGCTACTGAAGCTACCAACGGCGACGCCGCATCATCAAGAAAGGCCGACTACCGCGATGTTATGATCACCCACGTCGAAGATGACGGAAGGCTTCGTCTCCAACAGATCGGCAGCGGTACATCAGCGCTGACATCACTCATGAGCGCCTTCAGCAAGTTCCACCTCAACCCTGCAAACAGCAGTGGCCTGCCAGACGCGCCCAAGGCGGGCGAGTTTGTAGCAGCCAAGTTCACTGTCGATGACCAGTGGTACCGTGCGCGCATTCGACGCAACGACCGAGAGAACAAGAAGGCCGAGGTTGTCTACATCGACTACGGTAACTCAGAGACAATCCCGTGGTCTCGTCTTCGCCCTCTCTCACAAGCCGAGTTCCTGCCATCGAAGCTGAAGCCACAGGCTGTAGAGGCGCAGCTGGCGTTCATTCAACTTCCTGGCAACTCCGAGTACCTTGCCGATGCCGTCAGCTTCATCTCACAAGAGACAGCTGATCGTGAGCTCGTCGCAAGAGTCGAGGCCACCGAGAAGGACGGCATGCTTTGGGTGACACTGTACAACCCGGACCAGAGCAAGGACGGCACTGAAAGCATCAACGCCGACATTCTTAGCGAAGGTCTTGCGATGGTACCCAAGAAGCTGCGCCCGTGGGAGCGCTCGGCCAACGTGCTGGCTGCCATGAAGAAGAAGCAGGACGTGGCCAAGGAGGAGCGCCGCGGTCAGTGGGAGTATGGTGATCTCACTGAGGACTAAGCCTGTACATAGTTTTACGGTTGCATAGCAAGGAAAATAGCGGCACCGAGTGCGAATACTGTACATTAAAGCCATGTATTACGATTTGCACACAAGCAACACTCTTACATTCACATGTGCTACCAAATAATGCCTCGTGATGGAGGGCTGGCACCGAAGCTGCGAAGACGGCCAGGTGGAGGCTTAGGCGGAGATGACGACGAGGTGATTGGCGGCTTCGGCCATCCCCCACCCATCCACGGCAGCGCGCTGAGGCGGTGCCTGTAGGCAACCACCAAAATGCACCCCAGTCACGCTGAACACGGGTCTTGCGCCATGACGGCTACCTTCCAGGCAGGCGCATTGCAGACATCCTCCATGACTTTATACACGCGCACTTAACACCCCCTCATCCTCGCTCCTCGCGCGTCAGAACACCCGTTGCGACACGCACAGAGCAGTCGCGACCATGGAGACCATCAGTCGACTGCCCCGACGCCTGACACAGCTCTACTCCGACACCAAGACCACATGCGATGCTGTCGTCGAGCAGGATGCCAAAGACACGCCCGAGTCGCATGCACTGCATCGCAAGTTCAGGATACAGAAGGACAGGCTGATAACATGGGGCGTGGACTGGAGCGACAACTCCAAGGGGAAGCAGGGCGACATCGACGAAAGCGTGGAAGAGGCAGGCATGACGGAGACGGTCACAAGCGTGCTCGGAACCATCAAGGAAATCCTCGATGAGGCGGAGCAGATGCACCCGGGCACGTCTGCTGCGGGTGGGGGAAAGACAATGTCTGGAGAGAAGAGCCGGCCTGACCTTCCCTCGTGGGCGGCCGCCGACAGGTCACGTTACGAGGACCTCATCAAGGACCTCACCACCTCTATCGACATACTCTATGATCTCTCACGGAACCGCAGAGTTCAAAGAAGCAATGAGCGTGGTATTAGTCCAGGAAAAGCTACACCGCATCACAGCACATCGACTCCCGTCTTCTTGTCGCCTGACTACAACGCCTCCGACCTGACGCTGGTCAATCCTGCTACCTTCCCTCTGAATGCACATACCCCCAGATCTCATCTTCCACCCAAGCTAGATCCTGCAGACCTAATCCTCCCCGACGAGGAACCTCCGCCATACGAGAGCGTTGGGACTACTTCTGTTCGCGTCATCGGCCGCCTGCGGTCTCGCCACAGTTCCACCAACCCCTGGAAGACGGATGGCAGCAGGAACATAGAGACTTGCGTTTTGATCGACTACGCGTGCTACGACCCCGCCTACCGTCTCACTGGCGTGTCCCCATCCACCCAGCGCCTCGAGAGCCTTTTGTCAATACTGACAAAGCTGTCCAACAACCAGTCCTTCCACGGCACCCTTAAGTGCCTTGGGTATTTCGAAGATCCAAAACAGCCGCGCTTTGGCCTGGTCTTCGAGCTGCCCACCTCAGTCTACTCAGGGCCAGCCGATTCCCACAAGCCAATCGAGGAGCTCAAACCAGTGACGCTGCTCAGTGTATTGCAGACGGGCTCCAAGTCTTTGCACAACCCCAACAGTGCCACCCCGCCACTTGAGGACCGCTTTCGTCTAGCTTTCACGCTCGCCTTGACCTTTAGCAAAATCCACGGCGACGATTTTCTCCATCAAGACGTCAATAGCAGCAACATTATGGTCTTCAAGAAAAGCAAAAGGCAGTCTGCGAATAGTAGAGCATTGCAATACTCGCTGCGTTCGCCTGTAATATGTTCCTTCGATCTGTTCTCTGACTTCGACATCGACACCGACAAGGCGAAACCAACACTGAACATCTACCGGCATCCGGAGGACCCCAAGTTCACTGGAAGTCAAGACCAAAAGTACAATGCCAATTTCGATCTCTATGGCTTGGGGCTGGTGCTACTCGAAATAGGATTGTGGCAGCCTCTACTTGACCTGTGGAAGCAAAAGTACACCCTGAGCGACTTCAAGCAACGGATAGAAGATGTGTACATCCGCAGGCTCGCTTCAAAATGCGGAACAGCCTACATGCAGGTTGTGCGCGACTGCTTCTGGGCAGCGGATGTCAAGGGCGACAATGCGATCGATGTTCCGCAGGTCTACACTCGCATCCTAACCAGACTGCAACGCTGCTGCATGCTGGATGAGTCGGAACCTGGGTTTGACTTGAGCGAATTGAGACCGGGTGCTACACCGGTGCAGCAAGCATCTCCATTGAAGCGCAAGAGCGCGAGCCAGCCACAGATCGTCACCGATGGCCAGTCAAGTCCATCCTACAGGAGCGCAAAGCGATGGGCGTTGGAGAAGGGTACACAAGCCTTGGAAAGGACCAAGTCTCTCTCAAAGAAGTCACCAGATCTTTCATTGGCTCGTAATCCATCACGGAGCTCGCAACACTCCATCCGGAAGAGCATCTCAGAAAGTCTTCGTATGATGAGCCCTAAAGAAGAAGCATCGGAGATGGAGTGGGAACAGAAAGATCCTCTAGATGAATCAGGCACTCTCGTCGCTACCCCGCCAAATTCACAAGACCCAAGCGATAACTCTTCGCTGTACAGAGAGCGCGTGGCGACTGCCGCTTCAACGATTCAGCGTGCATGGCGACAGTCGCGCGCCCCCTCTAGTGGATGCGCAACGCTACAAGACTACAAAGACAAAATTACCATCATCCAAAAGGCTTGGCGCCAGACAAAGCAGAAACGCAGTAATACCACCGTCTCGGCCCTTGTCAGTGACGGACTGCGACACTGGCCGCAAGCTACGCTTGGTTACCCAACACCTGAGCCAGAGATACAGAGTAGGACGGTAAATTCGAGTGAGAGCTACGTCACTTCGTCTATACAGATCGAGACCGATACAGAGCCGACCCCTCGACCGAAGCTACGTCTCTTCCCAGTCAAATTCACACCTGAGATCGTGGAAGAATGGCACTCATCCATGTTGCCCCGCCTTGAGCGTCTAATAGAACGTGCGCTCAAGGATTCTGAAGAGACTGTTAGCATTGACCTCGTCGCCATCGGAGAAGTACTAGAGAAAGCCAAGCCTACAGTGTTTGTTACCTGTACTAGTGTGGCAAAGGTCAAGGCCATTCTCAACCGTCGCTTCCGCTTTGACGAGAATATATATGACCTCAAGGTCCGTAGGGGAAAGATCAGGCGGTCCAAGATGAGCCGTTCGTCGCGCCGAACTAGGCCACCGCATCGATCCATGATGAATACCGACTCCTACGATGCGGACATGGCTGTGATGAACCCTTACCATCAGGATCGCCCATTATGCGGGGCTTCCATTGGAGCGTTCAACGGTGAACATCTGCCTCCGGTATCCTATGGTGGGGTCATTCTGGTTGACGATGAGCCATTGGGCATGAGTGTCCATCACCTACTCGACATACCGTCCGAAGACGAAGACGACGTTGGCGAAGAGCCCGATAGCCCTTCTCCGAGCGATGTGATGCTGTCCAGCGCAGCGAACAACCCTTGGTTAATGGGTATGGGTGCGCAACCAGATCTTCATCTAGAATCGGATGAGCCCGCTGGAATGTGGGATCTTGAACTATCAGACGATGAGGACATAAAGAGCGAGGAAGACGACGCTGACCTTGATTCGTTCGACTTCTCTGACAGTGAGCTTGAGTCTGACGATGACTCTGCGGAGGGTATGCCGATCCGACACTGCACACAAGTTACAAGCGCTAATCCCATTTCAGATATGGCAGATTCTCATATTTCACACGCAACCATGGGCGACATTGACGGCATTGCGCCAGGCGAAGGCGAGGAGATAAAGATCACACAACCAGCCATCGATGACGTGGGCGCTGACTTCTTCCCCTGCGAAGAAGATCGCGACGACGACCATCTCTCCTCGCACGAACTAGGCCACGTTCACGCCTCTTCCGGCATCCGCCGGTGGAAGCGCGACGGCATCCTCCACGAAATCGACTGGGCGCTCCTCAAGCTCAGGGAAGACCGCCTCCAGCCATATAACGTTTGCCAAGGAGGTCGCCGCTTCTGCCTGGGCTCCATGACGCTGGAACAACGCGCCATAGCCTCCAAGCTGGAGAAGCCAGTGAACCGCCGCACTTACACCCCCGAAGAGGACGAATACCCCAACGGTGTGGCCCCCGCATCCACCCTCGGCGGCATGGCCGTACACTGCTTCGGCCGCACCACCGGCCTCCAACCGGGCATGGTCAGCAGCGTCATGTCCGCCGTCCGCATCTACCACCGCAAATCCTTCTCCCGCTCGTGGCACGTCGCTGGCGGCTTCGGCATCGGCGGCGACAGCGGAGCCTGGGTTGTACAGAACGGTCACCACAAAGTCGTCGGCCACGTGCTTGCCTTCTGCCAAAAGAACAAGATCGCTTATATCTGCCCCATGGAAGTTCTTCTTGAAGATATCAAGCGCACCTTAGGCGCTAAGCGCATCTACCTCCCGGGTTCAGTAGAGCAGACGCTATACAAAGCTAAGAAGGCGAGACACCATGATGTCATCGAAGACCTGGGGTCGCGGGTGCAGGGTCTAGGTATAATAGACTCTGCGGTCGATGTCAGGGAAAGTCTCAGTTCGGGGCCACCGGGCAATGGTGGCCTCTGGGAGAGACTGGAGAGAGGTGGGGATAGTGACAAGGAGAATACGAGATCAGCTATGCGGAGCAGTATTATGCGTGTCAACGAAGGCAGAGATGGGGGTTTGGAAATGAGTGTCAAGTAGGAGGAAACCGATGACTTTGGTTAGGCGTTCAGGAGGACGGTATGGGAAGGGGGAGGTTATACCCTGTTGTTTTATTCATGTTCGTTTGAATCAGAAGACCTATCGATCTACTCATGTGGAAGATTACAACCTCAGCACCAACGCTGAAAAGATCGTCAACTCCAGACCCTGCCTCCAATGTCCTTACACAAAGTCTCAACGTCCTCTCCTTTACCCAATCTTGCCCAATACTCTTCTATCTCAGCCGGATAGCCCGTCTCATTGAACGGCCTCGTCCACTCACTCGCCTTACTCCGCGCTATAC